TCTGTGCCTCGGTTCTCTTATCTGCAAAATGAGCAGGCTAGACTTGACGGCTTCTAAAGTCACTTCTGACTCTAAATCCAAGGTATCTATGGAGGACAAGTCATCCTCCAACACCATAAGAATGAGATGAGAAGCCCCTTGCTATTCTTTGGAATCACCATCCCAATGGGAGCCACTATTATTCTCATGCAAAGATCCCTTTATTGTGGGCTTTGAAGTTCCTTGCAAGGTGCCAACTCTTTAAATTCATTTTTAATTTACCTGTTTTCTAATATGTATCTGACCTGCCACATACTGTGGAATTCTCTCTTCCCACTTGGGGAATCTTTTTATTTAAAAAAAAACTTTAAAAAAAATTGCCAGTTAACTATTCATTGTTTTGATTTATTATTTTTGAGCTTTTGGTACTCTTAATTCTTAGCACATGTTTCTTTCTCCCTCTCTGCCACCCCCAGGCTTCCAATAAGGTCTTTTTTTAAATAGTCTCCAAGCTTCATGAGTTTTATTTACTATTTTTACTATTCTTTTCCTGCTAGAAAAGTGTCCTTAACTATAAAATGAGGGAAATGGACTAGATGCATTCTAAGGGCCTTTTGTAGCCCTAAATGCTATAATCCCAACATCCAAATTAGTCAAAGTTCCATTTTCTAAAATTGAGTAGCTCTATAATGTACTGGGAGTTTATAAATTTAATTACATTATAATCCCTATTTAGTGGTAATTCACCCACAAATATTTCCTGTTCGATTCCACTCACCAAATGTTTATTCAACACTTACTATGTACAAAGCATGTGTTAGGTGCTTAACATGATCAAAGTTTAGATATGACACAATCTCCGTCCTCACGGAATTTTCAGCCTAGTAGAAGATCAAAGAACAAAAATATACTATAGATATCTATAATTCACAATATTAAATAAGTGTATCAGAGAGTTTTAAAACAAAGTACTATGTAAGGTTAGAAGGGGAAGGTCCTTGTTAACTTCTCAGGTCTAAGTCCAGTGTGTTTCCTTTCCTTGTTGACCCTAAAATTCTCTGTTCTTGGAAGTGATGATAAATCGGTCTAATTCAAACCCATATGCCTTCATTTCTTCCCAATGAGGTATTCCACTATCTATGGGAATGAATAAAGTCTCCCAATTTCACTACCTACTCTAATTTTGTAGCTTCTCTGATCTTAAGATTTCTAGCCCTAATTAATTATCCTATTTGTGTACTATATAAAATACTCCTATTACTATTATGTGACAAGTCTTTCACTTAATAGGATTGAATTTATAAATTATGCCCTCTATAGGCTTAGTTCTTCCTGAATAGTATGCCTGTAAGTTAAATAAATAATTGCTACCAAGGAACCGGGGATAGGTAAAAGTCACTTGCTTTGCTGACTAAACTTTGGCTTCTTTTTGCTTTCAAAAAAAAAACCCGTTAATTAATAGCAAGCATTAATATAGTGCTTTAAGATTTTCAAAGTTCTTTACAAATATTATTTTATCTTCACAACAGCCTTGTGAGAGAAGTGTTATTATCCCTGTTTTACAGATGAGAAAACTTTCGCAGACAAGGGTTAAGTGACTTGCCCAGGTAAAAAGTATATGAAGGTCTTCTAGATACCATGTGGCCACTGTACTGCCCAACTGTCTAAACTAATCTCTAGCTTCCTGAAGACTTCTTGTTTCTGCCTACTAAAACAAATAAACAAAAATTGAAAGGGAGATACCGTGATACAGAGCACAGTGGGTGCCGCTTCTGGCTCTGCCACTTGGTAGCTACATGACTGAGCAAGGCACAAACACCCTAAGCCTCTTTCCTCATCTCTAAGATGAGAATGATCATGTTTGTATTACCTCCTTTATCAGGTTATTGTGAAGAAAACACTCTGTTGATTCTAAAGTGCAGTATCAATTGGAGGAGTTTTTGTCTGTGTGTTTTGGACCAGACCTGTTATTTCACTGGTGAAGAAACTACCAGATCACCTCAGAACCTGCTGATAGAGAATTCCTTGACCCGCCCAAGGTCATTATGTCTCTGAAGTGGAACTTTAATCCACATCTCTCTGACTTGGAGGCCAGCTCTCCAGCCATTCCACTATGATGGCTGTCAGGGTCAAGATACAACAGTATCTCTACAAGCTGTAACAATTGATAGAATATAAGATAATAAAACTCATTAGGGATAAATGTAAAATCTTACACGGGTTCAAAAAGTCAACTTCATGAAGTTACACAAGAGTTCTGTGGGGGAAAAAAGTTCGGTACTTCTATGGATTATACCCTTAGTACAAGTCAACATTGTGCAGAGAAAGCAAAAATCAAGCTGCATTAAGAGAGGCATGGGGGGGCAGGTAGGTGGCGCGGTGGATAGGGCTTTGGCCCTGGAGTCAGGAGGACCTGAGTTCAAATCCGGCCTCAGACACATGATACTCACTAGCTGTGTGACCCTGAGCAAGTCACTTAGCCCCAATTGCCTCACCGAAGAGGAAAAAAAGAGAGAGAGAGAGAGGCATGGTATCCAGGACTTGAGAAGTGAAGGTTTTACTGCTCAGATCACATCTGGAATGTGTATTCCGTTTTAAATAGCAGCTTTTAAAAAGCACATTGATCAATCAGGGAGCATCCAGATGATTGTGACTAGAATAAGAAAAGTCCTTATGATCATACCCTACAAGGATAATTTGGAGGAGCTGGTGAAAAGAGGGTTGGACAGGATGGCTGTCTTCAAGTATTTGAAGGGCTATCGTATGGAGGGATCCAATTTGTTCTTCTTTGCCCCAGAGAGCAGAAATGGCAACAGTGGTTCAAAGTTACAGAGGGGTAGATTTTGGAAAAATCTCTTGATGATTACAGTTGTTCAGACATGGAAATGGCTTTCCTTTGGAGAAAATGGGTCCCTTGAGAGGCCTTTAGGCAGGGCCTGCAATGAATACCCCACCATATAAAAAAACTGTCTGCTCATAGTTTCAGAAAACAGAGCAGCTAATTGCCACATCAACATCTCATTTTGCTCTGTTTCACCACCTCTCCTGTTTGTGGTTTTTCTTCCATGTATCTTAACTGGTCCCAGCTCACTGCCTAGGTGATCGCTAAAGTTTTTGTTTGGCTAGTTTTAGTTTTGATCTTGCTCCAAATTCTATGATCCTTTGAAATGGAAGCTCAGATCTGGTCTTGAAGTGCCAGGATGATATGGGGTGGGGGCAGATGATTAAGGTCATTGAGTCACAAGTAGAAGACTTGATGCCATGAACAATGGGGAATTTAGGGATTTCTTTTCATTAAAAAAAAAATCCAAAAAAAAAGAAGGCAAGTTTGTCCCAACTGAGTAGCATGTACAACCACATTTCTTTTGGAATTTAACTGTTTTGAAACCCTGCAGCCAGACTTCACAAAAAAACCTCTCTATCACTCCCTTAAAACCCAGTTGCCTTGGCAATTCCCAAGGGCTGGAATTCTTTTCAGCTTTTTCTTCCTGAAAAAGGTAATTTGACCTCTTCTCCCATGAGCACATTTCAAAAAATCCAAAATCAACCTTCTTCATTTAAATATACAAGTAGCCCCGTTGAGTAGGAATGGAAAATGCCACTTAAGGGAACCAAGAATTGTGCACAGTAGTGGCACCAACGAAGCTTCTTTTTTTTTCCTTCTTCCCTTTACTAATCCATGGCCTCCCAATTGGCATGTTATGATGCTATCATGGAAATTTTACTGTAGTGTCATTGCAAGCTAGGCCTTCCTGGGCATTTGGCTCTGTCTGCATCAGTATTGACTACTCCTCTAGAATAAAGGTGGGGAGGAGACCTTCAAAAACCAGCACTGAGGGATGAAGGAAATTCAGCTCCCCACAATGGGGAAATCATTCCAAAGAGTGTTCTTCCAGTGCCAGACCATCTAGACTTCAGGTTTTGGAGACAGCCCTTTACCCTTAAGGAAAGATTTAGAGTATGGTCAGATTTTGTTTCCCCTGACCGCTAACCTTCTCCCTTAACATTATCAACCTTTAGCCCAGTGAGTGGCCAAGGGCTTGTCCTAGACAGGACAAAAATCCTGCCCTGAGGTGACTTGCACAAATAGACAGGAAGAAGTATTAACCACACTTTTCTAGGTCTGTTTCCAGAGTGACCACCTCACAAAATTAAGATGAGTTAAAAGCATCAAGTTGTGTACTCTGACCCCCTTACTTCTGCTCTATCTCTTAATTTCACTTTCCCTTCCTTTCTATCTCTGTCTCTTCCCTGCCTTGTGCCCCTACTCTATTACTGTCCCTCTCCTTTACTCTTCAACCCTAGCGCAACTACTCAGGAATGCCCCCAGTTTCTTAGAAATACTAACTTTCATCCTCAGAGTCTGCTTTCTTAAACCATGTGCTCAAAATCTCAACACATATATTGCTGTATACCTTTTAAATGTGAATTCCCTGGGGGCAGCTAAATAGTAGTGGATAATGCAGTGGATAAATAGTAGAGTCAGGAGGACCTGAGTTCAAATCCAATGTCAGACACTTACTAGTTGTGTGACCCCGGGCAAGTCACTTACCCCCACTTGCCTCCAAAACAAACAAACAAAAATGTGAATCTTCTGAAAATCTAGAGCCAAACAAGGCAGATGCTAAGCACTTTTCTCAGTACCCATCGTGGGAACCCTTGTACGTTTTGATTTTCTTTCTAGTACTGATTTGGAAATACAGAATGTGCCCTTTTCTGACCAACTATCACAATTACCCCCCTTCCCCCATTAGAGGAAAATCAATTTGATTTTGTAATGTGTCTGACTTGCAAAGTTCCATTGCCTGACCCATGCTTGGCCTGCTCCCCACACTGACTCCTTGATCTCCTCATACTGGTCAGTCGCCAGGCTTTCACTCTCCTGGCTTTGAGCCCTTTGTTTTCCTCCCTAAATGAGTAGTAAGTTGAAAGGCTTAGCTTTTAACAGTTCCTTGATGAAAGTCACACAGCACCAAAGATAATGAATTAATCTTGAATTTTTCCTTTATTTTCTCACAAAGAAAACTGCTGCCGATGGAAAACGACAAGAAGTCATTGTTTTGGACTCTAAGCGCAGTAATGCTATTAACATTGGTCTGACTGTGTTACCCCCTCCGAGGACGATCAAGATTGCCATTTTGAATTTCGATGAGTATGCCTTAAACAAAGAAGGCATTGAGGTAAGAGAAAATATGGTACTTCACCCTAGCTATACAATGGTGTATTTATTATGGGAGAGGTATGATGGATTGGATCAGCCTCAGATTCAAGAAGGATGCGTGTTCAAATCCCACTTGCTGAGTGCCTCTGGTCAGCTAATTTGACCTCTTAGAGCACCAGGCATCTCTCTAAGTGACCTTAAGTTGTCAGATCTGCATTGATAGAAGGAGTCTCTTCACTGGGAGTTCCCTACCATTGAAATCACAAGTCTGGACTAAAAAATAAATAAATATATGTATTTATTACATATGGGAAATATTGCAGAAGTACCTTTTTGGTTGCTCTTAATATTGTCACAGGAACAGAAGGAGTCCTGAACTTGGAGTCACAGATGCTGAATTTGAATCTCATCTCAACTGTTCACTCCCTGGGTAAATTACATGGAGTTCTGGACTTGGAGTCAGAAAGACCTGAGTTTGACCTCCTGCCTCAAACACTTACTAACTGGGTGACCCTGGGCAAGTCCCCAAACCTTAGTTTCCTCATCTGTAAAATGGGGTTGATAACAGCACCTGTGTTTCAAGGTTCTTGTTAAGATCCACTGAAGTAATATATGCGAAGTTCTACTAAGCCTTAAATTGCTAAGTAAATGTTAGCTTTTTTTTTTAAGGGGCAGCTGGGGCAGCTAGGTGGCACAGTGGATGGAGACCTGGGTCTGGAGTTAGGAAGATTCATCTTCCTAAATTCAAATCTGGCCTCAAATACTTACTTGATGTTTGACCCTAGGCAAATCACTTAACCCTCTTTGCCTCAGTTTCCTCATCTGTAAAATGAGCTGGAGAAGGAAATGGCAAACCATTCCAGTATCTTTGCCAAGAAAACCCCAGATGGGGTCACAGAAAGTCAAATACAACTTAAATGACTGAACAACTAAAATTATTTTTAAACCACCCCGGTCTCAGTTTTCTGATCAGTAAATGAGAGGACAGATTAAATGGCCTCTGAGGTTCCTGCTGTTACACCCACTCCTTTCCTACCTTACATGTAAACTGGCATTTTTTTTGTAGCAGGTACTGGGATGTGAAACTGTAAATTTGGGCTTCAAACCATCCGAATCTTTAATATTTGTTGAACCAGATGGCTTTTGTTGTTGTTCACCATCTTTCATTAAAGTATGAATCAGTTTGAACCAATCATTCCAGTAATGAAATAAAGATAAAAAATATAACATGGCCACACAGCCCATAGGTGTGTAAAGGACATAGACCTAGAGCTGAAAGGGCTCAGGACCATTGAGCTCGGGAAACTGAGACTAAAAGAGGTGAGGTCACTTGCCCAAGGTAACAACCAATAAGTGTCTAAGGCACGACTCTAACTCAGATCTTCCTAACTACAAGCCCAGTACTCTATCTACTGTGCCATCTTACTACAAAAGAATATAAACTCCTTTAGGGCGTGGACCCTTTCATTTCTGTCTTTTTATTCCCACTGATTAGGACAGTATCCACTACATTTACTGTTGTGCAGTCTTTCAGTTGAATACAACTCTTCATGACCCTGTGGACCAAAGCATACCAAATGCTATCCAGTATCTTGGCAAAGATACTGGAATGGTTTGCCATTTCCTTCTCTAGTGGATTAAGGCAAACAGAGGTTAAGTGACTTGCCCAGGGTCACAGCTAGTGAGTGTCTGAGGCCAGATTTGAACTCAGGTCTTCCTGACTTCACGCCTGGTGCTCTATCCACTGAGTCATCTACCTGCCTCCTGATACATTTATACCTAATATAACTAATGAATACTTATTGATTGGTTGATTGATTCCTTGACCTGGTCACTCTCTCACCTACATCCATCCCTTTATACAGGTTTTCTCCCATACTTCGAACTCCTTTTCCCTGCTTCCTAGAATCTCTTGTCTAGCGTGTGAACCAATTCCCTCAGAAGTGGTTATCCTTCTGTTATCTCCCCAGTTGTTAGCTGTCTCCTTCCTTATATCATCCATATATATATGGATCTATTTATATATCCCTTTAAGCCCAGCTCATGAGCCATTTCTTACAATAACTTTCCTGATCCCCCTAGTCATTAGTGCCATCTTCTTCCTTAAACATCAGTATATATAGCAATCTGTTTACATGCTGAATGTAAGCTCCTTGAGGGCAGGAATTATTTTTGTCTTCTCTTTGTTTTCCCAGCATCTACTCCAACACCTTGAACAGAGTAGGTGCTTGAATGCTTGTTGGTCTGGATTGGTTTTAGGACATAAACAACTTTTGGTTGTAAATGTTTTGTGTATCCTTAACAATTTGTAGAGGAGTAATGGCAGTTCATGGGCAAGTGGCTGAGAAACCATAGGAAGGAAGGAAGGAAGGAAGGAAGGAAGGAAGGAAGGAAAGAAGATGGGAAGGAGGGAGGAAGAGAGAAAGAGAGAAAGGAAGGAAGGGAGAAAGAAAGAAAGAAAGAAAGAAAGAAAGAAAGAAAGAAAGAAAGAAAGAAAGAAAGAAAGAAAGAAAGAAAGAAAGAAAGAAAGAAAGAAAGAAA